AAAATATCATCAATATAGTCCATCACAGTAAGAATGTCATGTTTCTAGCACGGAGCACAAACAACACCAGTTTATTCCATAAAAGTCAGGTTATGGATGAAATTGCATGATCAAGCGGAGTGCATGCAAAGGACACAGAGAGGAGGAGCAGGCAGTCAGGGAATTTCCCAGATTCAGGTGCAGTAGAAAAGAGAGCCAAGAGATGATGTGAAGCCAAGAAACAGAGCTATAAAAGGAGGTCCAAAATGAGGTGAAAGTCAGTCGTTACATGGTTTTCATGTCGACTCGGGTCTCTGTTCTGGTAACAGAATGGGGCTCTATTTTGCACCGATCTCTGACACACTCCGGTGGAACTTTTGTATTCTAATTGGTGTCTGTTTTTGTTGATAATAAAAATGTTGGTAAAAGTTCAAGCTTTCTCATCTGGCCCAAGTCTTGAATTTTTACACGACATTAGTGTAGCCTACAGAACTACACTGAGAGACCATTTAAAGGCCTTTGCAGGTGTTTTGAGTTAATTAGCTAATTAGAGTGTGGCACCATTTGTCTTCAATATTGAACCTTTTCATAATATTCTAATTGTCTGAGGTACTGATTTTGGGGTTTTCATTAGTTGTCAGTTATAATCATCAAAATTAAAAGGAATGAACACTTGAAATATATCAGTCTGTGTGGAATGAATGTATACATTATACAAGTTTCACTTTTTGAATGGAATTACTGAAATAAATCAACTTTTTGATGATATTCTAATTATATGACCAGAACCTGTATTCTCTAGGGGTAAATTTTACCCGCTGGCGTCTATAGATATAAATGCCCATTTTTTAAAATCTGGCTTTATCTTGTAATTTTTTAACAATAGGGGGTGCTACATAGCACACTTTTAGGAAAAGTCAAAGGGGACTTGAAAAAACAGATGCAGGTAAATTTGACCCGTTGGCAGTTCTAGTGTTATAGTGAGGACATGACAGTAATGTCTCCAACTAAAATATGTACATATATTTTAGGATAAACTGTTTTCAAAATATGGCTTTCCAAAAAAAAGTGGACTCTTGGCTCAACTTGCCCCATATGAGTGGTAAGTTGAGCCACATGGGGGTCGAGACATCAATGTCATTTCATTGTGCAAACTCAAACGCCAGTTCCCAACATTCAATTGCACTTAGATAGTAAAACATTGCAACTATGTCTCCTAGTTGTTTCATATCAATGTATCGCTTTAAAGTCATCCTGTTTATCGTCATGTCCCGTGCCACCTGATGAATGGACTTCCCATTTTTGTACCTCTCCCATTACTCCGTCCAAATCCACAAGAAGAGTTAAAGCCTGTCTGTATTCCATTTATAGAAGCATGACATGATGGTTTCTGGTCTAAAATGCATCATGTCACATAATTTCAGAGATGCATAAATATGCACTGTAAAATTAAAGTCAAATAGTTGGCTCAACTTCCCCCAACTCCCCCTTTTGGCTCAAATTGGTCCCCCCACCCCTGTACTGGAAACCTCCAATGCTTGAGTAAAGGTGTAAACAACTTTATACAGCGTAAAGTAAACACTAACACTCCCCAGCTCCCAGTACGGGCAGAGCTAACATCACCAGTGGTGGCACAGCAAACTGAGCTAACTAGCAGCTAATTAAGTTAACTGTTAACTAACTTCAGCCACAAGTAAAGCTATCTGTCCATCAGGAAACTCTGTGAATCACAGAGTTGAGGCAGAGCAGCTGGCGGACATCAGAGAGAAAACTGATCCAGTTTCACCAAAATCTGTGAAAAAAAGTTGTGTTTTTGTACAGTAATCAGTGGGGCCCGGTGTTGTGGCGAATTCTGCATGCCTGCCGAGAATTGCATGGTAACGCTCATTTATACTGAGAAAAGAAAAGAGGTGGATGCATATCTCGGCAGATAGTCTACAACATCTGTTCTGCCAAATTATGCATCCACCTCTTAAGGTCCTTTTCAGACACTTGCTGTGCACAATCATCAAATGCAGTTATCACCACATGTTTTTGCTGAATCATAAGGAATGCTACTTCTACTCGACTCTAAACGTTCATAAAATTATATACTTAGAATCATTCATTACCATTGATCCACCCCACAAATGATATTATAGCATTTAATAGCAGTAAATGGAGGTGCATGCAATTCTTGGCAGGCATGCAAAACTCGGCATACACCTTCACCAGAAACACTATGCTTCAGCAGTGTCATATTGAAAAATCTTTTCTTTGGACTCTACATAAATACAACAAGTGCAGAATGAGTCATCAACATCTTAAGATGGTTTTCCAAATGACAAACTCTTAAATATCAAGAATACCTACAAAACACATTTTTGTCATTGATGGGCCAGATACTGCCATAGGGATGACATAGTGCAAAGCACATCATATAAAAACATTTAAACATGGATTTTGGGAATGGGAGATTTTGTTATTCTATGTTTCTCTAAAAATACACTGAGCAGACAACTTATCATTGATAGGATACTTCATTTGCCTATTTGACATTGAAGAAATCCAAAAGTAACTAAAAGTAATTGGACTACATTACTGGTATTTTGTGGTACTTGGATTACGTTACTGATTACATTTCTACACATGTAATTATTAAATTTTTTAAGTAACCCTCCCAACCCTGCAAATGACTGAAGTTAACGTGGTACCGAATGACATCTGCACTGGTGTGTACACCGTTGCTTTACCTGGTCCGTGTTTGTAAAATATCCATGTGTCTACGTCTTGTAAAGTAATGTAATGCCTGATGTCATCGTCCATCTCGATGTTTTCACAGTAGACAACGTCCAATGCCCGAAGTACTGCGGCCTGCACATGTGTGGTGTCCACACTGACAACATTGCTGTTACTGCCAGCCCTATCTTTCTACATGGAGTTTCCCTTTGTATATATCAATAATCAATAATAGAAAGTTTCGATTTATTATAAATTTCCTTTATATTTTGTTTAGACAAAAAATGGTTAAGAGGTGTAAGCTCAATTTAAAAAAATAAATAATTTAGGTTAGATGATAATTTGACATATTGTACAGATATAGAAATCGAAACTGTAGTGAAAGATGCAATGTTGCTGGTATGATGTCAGTATTACTATATAAAGATCATTTTTACTGCCTATGTTTGGTAAGAACCACATGCAGCATGAGGATAAAATAGGCAAAATTCTGAATCTCTAGATCATGCGCTGCTGCAACTGCACCTGAAGCGAAGGTTTACGTTCCCCGGGGTGAGGGGAAAAATTATGTCATTATGTCTTTTGCATGGAGCCTCAAGTTTTAGTGCTACGTGGCCGTGCAACTAGGTGTATGTTGCCCTTTTCATATCAACATAAACTTTCAACGTAGACTGCCTGAGCAGGTTCCACTCTTGAAATGCACAATTTGTCAGTGTCATGTGACATGGCATTTTATTTTTATTTTTTATGAGGAAGAGCATGTAGCCATATTTATAATGAAAGAATCTCTGGGGAGCAAATCTTCTCAAATCAAGATTAGATACTTCAGGGGAGAAATTGGCGCAGTTTATTTGTGGCTTTGAGTCCTTTTATCCAGGGTCAAATCTGTAGGTGAAGCCACGTGCATTGTGATGTGCCACAGTGTCCTTTAATCCACTAGCAACCATGGAACTACTACCAGATTAGAATTAAGGGAATGATTTTTGACTGACATATTTATTGAATAATATGGTCATACATTAGAGCATTGTACTGTATATTGTTGGCAATGATTGACAGTATGCACTGGCAGCAAAATTGGCAGTGGAAGTTAATTAACTTCAATATTTTTGTCATTATTAAAATTATATTACAGTATTATTCAATAGTATTGGGACTGATCAAACTGATTTTTATTGATTTAGTCAAGAAAACTGTTCTTTACAATCACTGATTCGTTTGTTCTTGAGTTTTTACATAGAAGGCAACACAGCATGAAGCAAACACTAGGTGGCAGAGAAATCGGTTTGTGGGTCAATATCAAGAAAGTTTTGTTGCCTAAAACTGAAACTAGCAAGTCAACGTAGTTGAAATTAAAAGGTCGATTCTAGCATCACATGGGCATGATGAATATTTTCGATCCAAGTCTAGGGTTACCCTCTTTATACACCCAGTGCTAAAGAGACAAGAATTAGGTTGGGAAAACAGTAATCTGGTGGCCAGAGTAGATAGCAGATATGTTTTGCCTGGCAGATCTGCTCGGGGCTTCACTGATTACTGTAGAAAAACACACAATGTTTATAAATTTATCCACATATTTCGGTGGAACTGGATCATATTTTTAGGAATTTCTAGATGGACACCTAACTGCAGCTGCCATTAGATAGTTAGCTCAGTTAGCCTTTCAGCTAGCAGCCTTATAAGGTTAGTAGAGTCTGCCCAGATTGGCAGCTCGAGCGCCAAGGGAGTGGTAGTGTTTACACTGCTAGCTTTGGACTACCAGGAGGAGGAGGTTTTCAGGCCTGGGCTTGGAGTTCCCCATCCAGGCAGAGTCAGCTAGCTAATGGGACCTCTATATGGCTAACTGAGCTAACAGCAGCTACAGTTAACAGTAATTTATCTGTTATTTTACCCTCAAATGAAGCCATCTGCCCATCAAGAGACTAACTAATATCCTTCCTCATCTAAAAAGCAAGACATACTGGACAACCTCCAAAAACTTGAAGATTAGTTCTGTGCACTTTGTGTGGAGATAGGTCTAGAGAAAGCACTATGAGCAGAGCAGTCGAATAACTGACACAGACAGTGGATCTGGGTGTGCTGTGCCTGGAGAAGATCATGAGCAGATGACCATATAGGGCCCAGAAAAAGAAACCTTTTCCTCACATGAATTACATTTACATACATTTACCAATTTACCAAATCTTTGGCCATGTTTAATATGAACATCCGACATCGTAAAATGAATTTACTGTACTGTATGACAGAAAATATGGGAAAGCATAATAGGTCCCCATTAATGTACCTTTAATGTAACCTTTGGATTACATTAATTCCATATCTTTCCATTCCAGCTCATTGTCATCTCTAAGTGTGGGGATGGATTTGATGCAGCTTTTGAGCTCATCTAAGACTTCCTGCAAGTTGTCTGCTGCCTGCCTGATTGATCGGACAAATTTCATGATCTCAGATCTGATTGGAGCGGTATTTTGGGAAGACTGGTCCTGTGCGTTTGATGTCTGAGACACTGACTTTGAGCCAGTTTTGCCTCCTTTCTCTGCTTCCTTTGCCTGCTTAATGTAGTGTATCTCTTTTGCATCCATAGCAATGAAGAAGACATCCACTGCCACAAATAAACCAGCAAGAACACCTGTTGCTGCCTCTGCCACACGTACAACCCTGGATGCTTGTGCTACAATCTTGCCAACGTTCATCACCTGAACAAGTCGAACCAATTCAGCAATGCCAGCTAGGCCTTTCCCTGCTCTGCATCCGAGCTTTAACAGGTTATCTTCACTGCTATCCTCAAGTTTTTGACATAAATTCCCGATCGTCTGTAAACTGTTGCTAATCTCCTGGAGCCAGGTGACAACTGCATTCATTTTCTGTTCAATCTTTTTAATGATGTATCGAACAGCTTTGCGATCAGAAGACTGATTGACCATATTAGTGATATTTGAGGCACCAGCAGTGACCCCACCAAGCGCACCCACCCCTATTTCAACCCCAGTGACAATAAGAGAGGCTCCCAAAGTAAAGGGGGCCAGTATTAGGCCCACTATGGATGTAATCCCTCCCACTGCTCCAATCACTCCTCCTGTCAGACTGCCAGTGGTGGTGCCGTGATGTACATGTTCCAAACCGTCAGCCACGGCCTTTAGCCTGTCCAACCTGGTCTGGAGGTCCTTCACAGTTGTTTTCACAAAAGCATAGACATTGTCAGCGGACAATTACTATCTGAAACACTGCTGTTCAATCTAGTGTTTCGTTACTCGTTCAAAAATATTATTACAATTATTTAATAAGACGCTGCTTGATTATAGCTTCTGTTACAACTGCATGTCTCAAAATTTCCTCAGTCTCAGTTCTGACAAAAGAGGTTAATCTTTTTCTATGTATCATGCGTATGTATGTATGAGTAGGTTTATGTATGGAGGATGTATATACTGTATGTAGAGATGGACTGTTCCGGTATCAAAAATTGGGGGCTGAATTTCTAAATCATCGGTATCGGCTTTATTGAGCGCAAACCTAAGCCAGATCCTTTGTTTTGCTTTAGCTGTCATACAAGTGCATTCAACGGAGAGCAGTTTGTGACAGGACGTGCATAAAATGTCTGCTATGTTAAATTGGAAAATGAAAGTGGTCCAACAGCCACTTGCAGTGTCTGTAATGTGAGCATTTCGTGAGGTGGTAGATAAATACTGGACATTTTCAACATGAGTTAAAAATTTGCGTTTATCGTGCAACTTTTCTTTCAGAGTGTTGTGTGGAGAGGAGTGGGCAGAGTGGAGAGACAGAGCTTTGGCTCGCCGACTGACAACTACTGAGTGACAGGGAGCTCTGGAGGAGGGAGTGGGGGGTGGCGGCTGAGCTTTTGGACAAATAAATGCCCGCACTATAACTGTATAATCACAGTGCCAGTGTTTATTACTTAGCTTGGTTTAGTTTAGTTTGTTTTATACAATGATCATTATAATTTTTAGCCGATTGACGATATTTGCAGTTACATTTGCTTGCAAAGGAATGTGCTTTTGTCAGTCATTAGTGTCTTTGAATCAGGTTTAGGAAGAAATTAGGATTACTTGGTTACTAATGCAAACATGTCAGAATCGTGCAGCCCTAAATGGAAAGTTGACAAGATGAAAATTAGATGTTGGACAGATATTTTGTGTTCTGTGAGAATGAGTTCAATGTTGTCGTTATTGAAGAGTCATACCTTTTCTAAGAGACAGCTGATAATAAAAGGACGCCCCAGGATCTCACTGGCTGTTGGTCTTGATCGAGGATCTCTTTTTAGTATATCATTCAATAGTTGACAAAGATCTGGTGAGAACGTCTCTGGTAGAGGGGGGCATGAACCACCAAGAATCTTGGGTATCAGCTGAATTGGAGTCTCTGCTGAGAACTGAAGAATTGTTGTTACACTTACAATATCAGTGATTAAGTATAAATTGCATAGCCTATTTTGAGTCCTGTTTTTGGTAAGAGCTCATATGTTATCAAAATGTAGGTTATTAGTATTTTGAATGCCATATGTTAGAATATTAATTGAACTGGAAAGGAGTTTTTTCATAATAGCAAATATACTATATGCTGCTTCAATACAGTAGCTGCTTAGTATTAAGGTTGGTTAGGGAAACCAGTGCCAAGATGGAACCGGTTCCAATACGACCTAGTACCTACCGAATTACAATGCAAATGTGGGTACCTTATTTGGGTGCCACTTCTGGTGCTCTGAAACGGTCTTAAAAAGTGGTGCAACTATTTACGGCAGTACAAATTGTAGCATCCCTCAATGAAAGGCTATGAGATGACAGTCGGTTTTGCTCGGTTTGATTAATGCTCCAACAAAACAGGCTGCTGTAAGCCGCAGCCTACAGCAAAGAAACAAACCTGGCTCAACAGGGAGAGAGCGAGAGAGCTACATGTGTTAACTCATCTCGCTCTTCACCCTCCCTGTCCCGAGGCTAGCGCACACTTCCTCAGGCTAACAGGAACAACAACAACTGCCAACCTTAACTTTCTGCCAATCACAGGTAGGGAAATAAATGATTGACAGGCTTCTACAGTCATGACACATTCAATGACTTCCTGGAAACACTGGAGATCATCATAACTCCAATAAACAGCCCTTTCTGCCTTAACTGTCATGACACAGTGAAGTTTGAAGCTGGTTCCCCTTCGAGGGAACTCGAACTGTGTCGGTTACGACACTATGGGAACGCCTCTAGGCGTAGAAGGTCTGAACGTGAATTAAATCACTCCAATCCTATTGGTTTGTTGCTAGAACGGTAAGGTGTGACGGAATAACCGGAGGAGTATAAAGCACACCTGTACACACTCATCATTAGCTTTTTTCTATTCAGCAGGCGCTCTGTATGTTGTTTGAAGAAAGCTCCAGTCCTACAAGCAGTGTGTCTTACCTGAAGAAGAAGTCTACCAGCATGTCCGACAACCAGAAGTACTGAAGGTGTGTTTTTCCTTGCCCTCGGTACATCACAGACGGAGATTCTCATGAGATGTGTGTCTCATGTTTGGGGTTGGAGCACGCCCGGGCAGCTCTCGAGGGGGCTGCCTGCGGCCATTGCGAAGCCCTTTCCGTGCAGGTACTGAGGTCCCGCATGGCTCTCTTTTCCGAGGATGGCAGGATGTGTTTTCCCCGTGGTGTGGGCCCTGCGGCCGCTGAGGCGGCCCGGCGGCTTCACTCATGGGGTTTCACAGCGTGATCTGTCGGAGGATTTTGGGACGGCTGAGGCTTTTTCCTGACCTTCATCCGCTGGTTCAGATGCTTCCTTTCCTCGTTCGGGAGCCCGTTTCTCGGCTTCTCCCGCTCGCGGTTTGGATCCGGAGACGCTGCAGCAATCTGACTCTGAGGAGGTGGACGTGCTCAGCATAGTGGACGATGACTTCCGGGTGTCGGGGCGGCGTCATCAGGCGGCGCCCGACTATCACGAGCTGCTGGAGGTGGTGACTAGAGCCGTGGCTAAGCTCAACATCAACTGGCCACAGGAGGAGCAGACACCACAGGCTAGTGGTAAGCTTGATGAAAGGTTTCTTAAGTACCAAGCGCCACCTCCATGCCGGTCTCTGCCATTCTTTCCTGATTTAGTGTCGCTTCTCGGGGACCCCCCCGAGGGCTGGGGCAGCGAGGCGGCGCTCTCAACCTCAGCCTTCTGAGAGACGCGATCTGAGGACCGTCATCCAGTCCCGACGGAGCTCAGGGAAGAGGTCCTGAAGACCGGGGTAGGGGAGTCTTTTCTCCCCTCCTGCACGCCCCCCCCCACCCACATGGATATCGACTACAGTTCAAAACCCGCCCTCCAAAATTCAACGGGGTGGTTTGGACTGTGGTCCGCCCGGAGCAAGGTCCGGTGTTGGGACAGGAAGTTCTTACTCTGCTGAGGAAAGGGGCCGTGGAACGTGTCTCACCCCCAGACAGAGACGCCTGGTTCTATAGCCGGTACTTCATAGTCCCCAAGATTTTGGATCTGCGGGTTCTAAACCGGTCTCTGAGGAGATTCAGGTTCAAGATGCTCACCATCCCCGCTATCGTGACGCACATCCAATCCGATTGGTTTGTCACGATAGATCTAAAGGACGCCTATATCCACGTCTCCATCCGTCCTTCTCACAGGAAGTTCCTGAGGTTCGCCTTCGGGGGTGTGGCTTACCGGTATCGGGTTCTTCCATTTGGCCTGGCACTTTCCCCTCGCACATTCACCAAGTGTATGGATGCAGCACTGGCCCCGCTGAGGCTCCAGGGCATCCGGATTTTCCACTACATCGACGACTGGCTCATATTGGCTGCCGTGAAAGGGGTGAAGTTAGGCCACGGCATCACTATAAAACACTTTCGACGAGTGTTGGGTCTCCTGGCGGCTGCGTCCAGCGTAATACCATCTGGACTGCTGCACATGAGACCCCTGCAGTGGTGGCTAAGGACCAAGGGTTTTTCCCCGAGGGGAAATCCTTTCCTTTCTGTCTTCGTTCCCTATCAGTTTGGAAGGAAACTTGGTTCCTGTCCCAGGGGCCCGTGCTGGGAGGGTCTTGTCGCCGGCTGGTCATTTCAACAGACGCCTCCCTCACGGGCTGGGGCGCGGTCATGGACGGCCGCTTTGCAAGGGGATCCTGGCAGGTGCATCAGTCCGAGTGGCATATCAACTGTCTCGAGATGTTGGCGGTGTTCCAGGCTCTAAGGAGTTTCCTGCCCAATCTCCAAGGCCACCACGTCCTGGTTCGTTCCGACAACACAGCGGTGGTGGCCTATCTGAATCACCAGGGCGGTCTGCGCTTGCGCCCTCTGTACAGACTGTCGCGTCAGATCCTCCTGTGGTCCCAGCAGAGGTTACTATTGCTCAGGGCAATGTATCTCCCGGGGACGCAGAATCAGGGAGCAGACCTGCTGTTGAGGCAGGGGCTGAGGCCCGGGGAATGGAGACTTCACCCCGAAGTGGTGGAGCTCTTGTGCGGAGAGTTCGACCCCATAGACGTGGATCTATTTGCGTCTCAAGAGACTACGCACTGCCCGCTATGGTTTTCTCTCGTTACGCCAGCCCCGTTGGGTCTGGACGCCATGGTACATTCGTGGCCGAGGCTACGTCTGTACGCTTTTCTCCCAGTCGCTCTGCTCCCGGGGGTTGTGGAGCGGGTCCGCCAGGACAATGTCGGCCTACTGCTCGTAGCCCTGTTCTGGCCAACCCGGGTGTGGTTCTCGGACATCATGTCGCTCCTGGACGGCCCCCCGTGGCAGGTCCCTCTGAGGAGAGACCTGCTGTCCCAGGTACAGGGCCGGGTTCTTCACCCTTGCCCCGCCGTATGCCGACTGTGGGTCTGGCCCCTGAGGGGGCACAGTACCTAGAGGTGGGTCTAACAGCTGGAGCAGTTGAGACCTTTCTCAGCTCCAGGGCTCAAAATAAGCTGTTTCTCCACTTGGTGTAGGGAGTGTAGGGAGCGGTCGGTGGACCCGGTTACCTGCCCAATGGTTCAGGTACTTGAGTTCCTCCAGGACCGGTTCTCTGCTGGTCTTTCCCCTTCCACCCTCAAGGTGTACGTGGCAGCTTTTTCATCTTTCCATGCCCCTCTGAGGGAGGGGTCTTTGGGGAAACTTCCCTTGGTTGTATGTTTCCTCCGTGGTGCCCGGAGGATGAGGTCCAAGGTTCCCACTTGGGAACTTGGGTGGTTCTTGGGGCGTTGGCTGAGGCCCCCTTCGAACCCCTGGAGTCAGCTGAGGCTAAGCACTTGACCCACAAGATGGCCTTTCTCCTTGCTATCACCTCTCTGAGGAGGGTGGGGGATCTCCAAGCGCTTTCGGTTTCCCCGCAAAGTCTGGAGTTTGCCCCGGGGAATATTAGGGCTATCCTGCACCCTCGTCCAGGATACATCCCTTAAGTGCCTTCTTGTGCGGCAGGGTCCACAGTGCTGCAGGCATTTCATCCTCCACCTCATGTGACGGCGGAGGACGGGAGACTTCATCTGCTCTGCCCTGTCAGAGCACTGAGTATTTACACTCTGAGGTCCTCAGTTGGAGGAAGGCTGACCAGCTGCTAGTGTGTTTTGGGTCCCCCAGGGCTGGGCTCCCTGCATCCAAACATACTATTAGCAACTGGATTGTTCAAATGTGAAACCACAATCTAAATATAGGTAAGAAAATTTGATGTTTTCATCTAAATGTCATTTCTTTACCAACACTGGAAGTTTCCTCCCCCTATTTTTTTGACTGCCATATGATTTGTTGAAAATAGCTTTATTTCTGTCATGTTATATACACTCAACATCAAACTAAAGTCTTTACCTACACACATGTTTCCGAGAAGTACTGTATATATTTTTTTGTGCATGGAAAACTGTTTTTCATAATATTGAGGATCTTATGCTATCTTTGTGCTGTGTGATAATACACACCAGCATCAGTGATTTTTTAAATTGGATTTTTTAAACTTATATTATTATGAATTTTACAAGAGAATACATAGCACAGTCATTTTGGTCATGTTTTCATTACATAAATCTTTGATTGCATGCCAAGCTTTGGATAACTTACCGCTGATTTGCGAGTACAGAGCTCATACAGTATGCATCCCAATGACCAAATGTCACTATAAATAAAGCAAATATTGTTAATATTAATGTTAGTAGGTGTTGTGTTAGTAGTTCAAAAGACATTCAAAAAGTTTGATACACTGAAGCACATCAGCGTCATCTTTCTCATGTGTCTGACTGAACAAATAGGTTACAATTTAATCTATTTTAATACAGGTGTCTACACTGATTTCTTTTTTTCTTTTTGATTTACACTGTGCACACAATTCATGTATTGTAACAACCTAAACCAAGTGGATTTGTTGTTGTGTGGGTTCTTTATTTAATAATTCTTTACCTTTTGGCATCATAGTTTCAGTCTGTGAAGACTTCTGGTGCCAAATACTTTATTGTTTCATTTGAATTAGTGGTTGACTGAATGTTTGTTGAACTGTGAAAAGAAAAAATCTTACAATACAGCAGTACTAAATTTTATCTGTAGTACATAGTATTGTATATGATAGTGTACAGTACTTTTCATGGATTTTTCCAAATCCGCCCAAGCACACTGTTCCAAATTCAGTGAAGAAAATTTCCTACATGAAGAGGAAAAGTGAAACTATAACATTATGTAACCTAATTCACTATTCATTTTATTTAAAATGTTTTATCTTTTGATGATGTAGAAAATCGAAGAGATAAATTCTGTAGTACCTCTGGTGTCAGTTGTTTGTGAATCAAACCTTTTTCATGGATGAGTCTCAAAGCCATACAGATCTCAACAATCCAGCTCAGTACCTAGAAAATCCATTATGGCAAGAATGTCAATTAATTGCAAAATATGTACACTAATGGACTGACTTGCAGTATACTCTATTTCACTGATGTAAATGTGAGTCTTTTTCATTAGACTACTGTACCTTACACTCTTGTGGAGGCTCACTCATCTCTTTGATCTTTGCAGCAAGGCTGCCTCCATGACAGTAGTCCATCACTACATAGTAAGTGTTTTGATCTTTTGGACAAAAGATATGTATTGTATGTATATATGTATATTATAACAAATTGTCTTTACAATATAATTACATAAGATATTTCTCCCAAATAAATATAAAATATTAGAATTTTGTCTCTGAGAATTCTATCTCTTTGTTTCTGACTCTGAGCTCACTGTCCAGTTGGTGTGATTGAATTGTTTAAAAATATTGACAGTATGACAACTGGATTTTTTGCTGACATGCTCCACACCTGTCAGTCTGTGAAATTAGTCAGGTTGCAGATTTCAGTATTGTGCCTTTTCTCTGTGTTTGGGCTTAGAGAGCAGAATTGAGACCAGAATGTTGGGGTTCTGTTCCAGAAACAAGAAAACCTCAAAATCAGTTATTGTGACATTTACAGTTACAGTTTCTAAAAATCCTGGAACATAACCTAATTCAACAGTATGCTGTAGCCTACAGTTTGTTGACAGGGAAATCAATTTTACCAATAACTGAAAAAATCAGTTTTTAGTGGGTCCAATGTTGACCTAAATGACTAATGATGATAAATAGAATCCACCTGTGTGATATCAAGTCTCTGTATAAATGCACCTGCTCTGTGATAGTCTCAGAGGTCCGTTTAAAGCGCAGAGAGCATCATGAAGAACAAGGAACACACCAGGCAGGTCCAAGATACTGTTGTGGAGAAGTTTAAAGCCGGATTTGGATACAAAAAGATTTCCCAAGCTTTAAACATCCCAAGGAGCACTGTGCAAGCGATAATATTGAAATGGAAGGAGTATCAGACCACTGCAAATCTACAAAGACTCGTCCGTCCCTCTAAACTTTCAGCTCATACAAGGAGAAGACTGATCAGAGATGCAGCCAAGAGGCCCATGATCACTCTGGATGAGATCTACAGCTGAGGTGGGAGACTCTGTCCATAGGACAACAATCAGTCGTATACTGCACAAATCTGGCCTTTATGGAAGAGTGGCAAGAAGAAAGCCATTTCTTAAAGATATCCATAAAAAGTCTCGTTTAAAGTTTGCCACAAGCCACCTGGGAGACACACCAAACGTGTGGAAGAAGGTGCGCTGGTCAGATGAAACCAAAATCGAACTTTTTGGCAACAATGCAAAACGTTATGTTTGGCGTAAAAGCAACACAGCTCATCACCCTGAACACACCATCCCCACTGTCAAACATGGTGGTGGCAGCATCATGGTTTGGGCCTGCTTTTCTTCAGCAGGGACAGGGAAGATGGTTAAAATTGATGGGAAGATGGATGGAGCCAAATACAGGACCATTCTGGAAGAAAACCTGATGGAGTCTGCAAAAGACCTGAGACTGGGACGGAGATTTGTCTTCCAACAAGACAATGATCCAAAACATAAAGCAAAATCTACACTGGAATGGTTCACAAATAAACATATCCGGGTGTTAGAATGGCCAAGTCCTGAATCCAGACCTGAATCCAATCGAGAATCTGTGGAAAAAACTGAAAACTGCTGTTCACAAACGCTCTCCATCCAACCTCACTAAGCTCGAGCAGTTTTGCAAGGAGGAATGGGCAAAAATTTCAGTCTCTCGATGTGCAAAACTGATAGAAACGTACAGCTGTAATCGCAGCAAAAGGTGGCGCTACAAAGTATTAACTTAAGGGGGCTGAATAATTTTGCACGCCCAATTTTTCAGTTTTTTTATTTGTTAAAAAAGTTTGAAATATCCAATAAATTTCGTTCCACTTCATGATTTTGTCCCACTTGTTGTTGGTTCTTCACAAGTTCACAGTTTTATATCTTTATGTTTGAAGCCTGAAATGTGGCAAAAGGTCGAAAAGTTCAAGGGGGCCGAATACTTTCGCAAGGCACTGTATATTTATTGGGAAAAAAATCTAAATAGGCTATCAGGTCGGAAGATGAGACTTTGGAGTTCCGATGCCCTCTCTCTCTCTCTCTCTCTCTCTCTCTCGCTCGCTCCCTCCGCGTCTCAACGCGCAACCAGAGCGCAGCACACAGACAGACAGCAGCCCCTCCAGCTTCTCTCCCAGCAGTGTTTTTCTTGGCTTGTGTGGAGGTGAGTGGTGATGAACAAAAGACTAAACTACCAGTGCCTCGTTTACCGCTAATTAAACAAAAGACAATATAGGCCTATGCTAAGGCATGACTCATGAGCTGAGCTAGTGTAATAAGTTAGCTGAAGTTTAGCTAAGGCAATATCTCATGGCCATATAACCTAATGTACTGAGGGAGACACTACAGGTGAGCACAGTAACATTTGTGTCTAATAACGTCATCACAATCGCCACATTGATATGCAAACTAGGCGTTAACTAATTAAAATGCGCTAATTTGCACACATTTGACAAGTCACTGCAGGTGAATGGGCTAAAGAAAATAACTAAAGCATATCACCACAGAACTTCCCCAGTTAATGAATTACATCAAGAGTATTTTCCTCTGAAATGTGCTGTGTAAATATGCAGATTAGCTTGTTTTGGTTAATTTAGAAGAAGTCTATAGATTCTAAAGGTGTATTCTTGAAGTTTTATTTCCATTACAGTAAAAGAAGTCATGGAAACAAAACAGACCAAAGTCTCAAAATTGACCACTCCATGAAAAAAGTGCCTTAAAGAGTAACTTCATAGCTTTGATGGTAGGCTACTCATCTAATAACTATCCATTCTATTAGTTTGTTGTATGCTGATAGATCTTTACATATACCTGACTCAAATATGAAACTAAGTCCATGTCACCATCAGTAATTGTGTGTGTGTGTGTGTGTGTGCGTGCGTGTGCATGGTATATGTAATATAATAGCAACAATAATAAAGTTTTTGATCAATACATTAATGTATTCAGGCAATTCAGTATTCTGTTGCTTGGCTGTGTGAAGCTGAAGTTTATCTTTACTCATTTGGCATCTTGCTTGTGAAACACAAAGTAAAAGTATTTAAATAACATTTATTTTAATTATGCCTGCAGCCCAATGCCACAGTTTAGTGTGAAGATTTATGTGAAGTATTATGTATTCCAATAACACCAAAAGAATTGAAACAATTTATTGTGTGAAAAATAAACAAATTATTAATGAAACTGTCATTTATTCTAAATATATACTTGAAACTAGTAGCATAGAAAACATGCACATTGTGGCATAGTTTCCTTTGCCGTCGCCTGCTCCTGTGATAAATCTAGTGAATACTAAAGAAGACCGTTGTCTCTGTGTGAACTGATTATTTTGTAGAAAAGTAAAAATGTTGTTGAGTTAATATATTTGTCTTGTTTTAAAAAATGCCCTTTTTTTCACTTGAGCCCCAGCCCACCAAAATGTCTGTGCAAGTCCCTGCGTGGCTGCAGCTAGTTCAGACAGCTGTAAAAACAGCAAGGCAGGGAGGAAGACCAATGTAGAACCTTTTATACAGCAGACATTTCAGCAAAAAAAAGTTTCAATGTGACAGAGGAAGAAACTGGTCAGTTTAAGACGTGTTTAAGACACAAGGAATCCTCGTCAGATGTGATACAATCATGCAAGTACATACGGGGACTTGTAGTATTTTTGTAAGCGTAAATAGAATTGTTTAACGTTAACAAATGCTGTAGCAGATACTCAATGTGACATTTACACCTTCTATGATATACTATCCACGTCTTACAACACAGGCCAGCACCTATCTCGGACATGACATCAAGACTTCAGCTCTCTGTTCTATCATACATTTGTTTTAAATTACATTGAGTCTCACACAGACATCACCTGTAATATCAAGTCCAGGTGAGCATATATCTTGAAGCTGAATCGTTGAAACTTACCTTTAAAAGAGTTCTTGCTGCTCACGATATGAGGATGGCTTGTTGTGTTGAGAATTTTTATCTCTGAGATTAATGCTGAATCATCATTTCCGGATGTCTGTTAAAAACATACTTTGCATCAGAATGGCCTGGCAGAGGTGCCTGACAGCAGACAAGGTTAAAGTCGTATCCCTGAGATAGTAGTCAACAAACTAGATCCTTTAGCGAAACCCTTCACTGGCACTTCTACCTACTGCCTCAAATTGTGGTTCAGTCACTCTCACACTCTCTCCACCAACTACATGACAGTACAACACAACTGTGTTTCATGAAACTGGATGCAAATGAAAGCACGAATGTGCAAATTTATGATCAACACATTTTAACAGTTTTAGTGACCATTAGTGGTAGTGCAAAATATGTGCAGCATGGATAATGTGGAAGAGAGGCATAATGCATTATTAGTAGAAGAGATGCTTTAATTGCTTTCACTATATAAAATTACATTCTTGGAGTAGTAGCTTACCACTCTGTTGTGTGGAAAAATGAAAAACAGTTTAGAGCAGTAACTGCAGTATTGTAAATCTCCATCAAAGCTATGGGGACATTTTTCAGTTTTTTGTGAGGATTATTCCTGGGAGTTCTCCATTTTGCTACTTGCAATGAATCACTCCTCCGCCTAGTTACATGTTACAGTACGCTACAGTCCAGCTCACCAGCAGAGCAGCCACCCCACACTTACCTGATCATGGCCATCAGGAACAACGCAAATGATGATTAGTGAATTTTTGTGAGGCGAATTTAATGCACCACATTTATTCACATCAAATGTGATCAAGCAAGTATAGGTTCTAAAAACTCACTGTACGAAATTTTTTTTTAGTCAATATCAAGTAATGACCTTGTCAGCTGAATAAAGAAAGAAAAAAACCCAGGTGCAAATCATACTAACCTCCTCTAGAACAAACACTTGCATTTCCTGTGTTTTAACTGTGCATCACGAAGGGCTCACTATTAGCATATTTTAATTTAATTTAATCTTTTTTACAAAATCTTGCCGGTGGAAAGGACGCTACTTAAATCAGCTATAGTATCTACATGGGGACAACCCTACTTAACAGTGCTTTACAAAGCATAAACTTTTATCTCCTATACAGTGTGGCCTCTCTCCTCCTGGTACTTTATGAGTACAAAACAGTTGTATATTTAATTTGTCTGCTG